ATGTTCAGCAGGCTGGGAAGCCCAGCAGTAACATCTGGGCAGGGAGACTTTGTTGTGCTGTTCAATTCATACTCAGGACACGGTGGTCTGCCATCCTTAAAGGCAAGGCTAGGCTTGTTTGCCTCTTCTAGCATAATCCTTGGACCCTCCCTGTTTAGCTTGGGACAGAGTGGTTCCTCGGTAAGTATTTGTTGGATTAACTGAATGAGCAAACATATTCAGACCTGCTTACAGAATTCTTATTAACAGCTTGCAGTTAAGATAAAGAAATCTGGGTTGGGTGCTAAGACACTAAGGAAGAGTTAAAATTGGTTGAATACTCACACCTGAAAAGTTCTGATGCAGCTACATTTCACCTGGGGGAAGGTTCTCAAATCAGCCTTTAGTCATGTTCTGTTCAACAGTGTTGTTAATGACTTAAATAAGAAGATGAAGTTTCAAAGACCTTAAAAATTGTGTGCATGGGTGCAACATATTTTTATTTTAATTATGATAATGGAAATAATATTATTATAGAAAACGTGGAAAATATATAAGGAAAATATTTAAATCTTATAACATTTTTTAATGTAGTTAAGACAATCATATACAGTTTATGTTTTAATTTATATTTATTTTGTACTTTTGTCATTTTACCTGATATAGAAATTTTATCCCACATTATTTGACTTTTTAAAATATAATTTTTAGGCCGGTCACAGTGGCTTATGCCTATAATCCCAGCACTTTGGGAGGCTGAGGCAGGCAAATCACTTAAGGTCAGGAGTTTGTGACCAGCCTGGCCAACATGGTAAAACCCTGTCTCTACTAAAAATGCAAAAATTAGCCAGGCGTGGTGGCAGGTGCCTGTAATCCCAGCTACTAGGGAGGCAGAGGCAGGAGAATCACTTGAACCTGGGAGGCAGAGGTTGCAGTGAGCTGAGATTGTGCCAATGCATTCCAGTCTGGGCAACAAAAGTGAAACTCTGTTCCAAAAAAAAAATGTAATTTTTAATGGTAGCATTTTAATTTGCAGAAGTATAATTTAACTAGGCATCTTTTTTAAAATGTTGGGTGTTTAAATGGTTTCTTAAAACAATGCTATGCCGATCACTTTTTTTCATAGGTGTCTCATGGATAGTTCAAGGATTATTTCCTTGAACAATCAGGAATATTCACTCAAAAGATATAAACAATTTTGGTTTGGATGTTTTTTTCCAAAATGTTTTCTAGAAGGAACATTCCAAAAATGAATCCTACATGGCATAAACTAGCACTGAACAGCAGAACCCTCTGTTTTAACGGAAGCGTTGAGATATGATTAGTCAGTTCTGTAGCTCCTCCCCCATGGCTATTGAGCATTTGAAATGTGAGCAGTATGACTGGGGATATAAATTTTATTTAACTTTAATTAATTTAAATCCAAATAGCCACATGTGGCTACTGTAGTGGACATTATAGATAGACAGTTCCTGGATCGCTAGTGACCCAGGAACTTGTCAGTGTCCACCCAGAGCCTCACAGGCCTAGCCAATACAGAGTGGGAAAGGCCTTCTTCCACTGCCTGAGAAATTCCACTGCAACTAGAGGTCATACTTCCCAGGATAGGCTGGAAATGGAACAGTCTTACAACAGACTCACTGGTGTTTAAAAGACCCCAAAGGATTGGACAAGGCCATTGTAGATATCTCAAAGGCACAACTTCAACTCAGACTTCGAGAGTTCCCAAGCAGGATTGAGTTCAGTTTCCAACAGTGGTGATGGGCTAATTAATTGACTCTTCACAGGCTGTCTTACTATCCTTTCATTTTTTGCTCCTTTCCTAGTATTTATTTGCACCCAAGGTCTCTCGGGATCCACTTCTTGGAAAACCAAAATTAAGAGTGCTCCTCATTCCAAAAATATGTCTACCTGTGAGCACAATTGGAAACACTATATTCTGAGAGTATATGATTTATGAGTTCAAGTGATGGAATGAAGAAAGTAAGGTTTTCTCTTGGTTTTCCCCCTTTCTGGAGGTATGACTTTGGACAGGTTACATAACCTAAACCTCCTTTTCCTCATCTGTGAAAAGGTCATAATTGTACCTGGTTCATAAAACTGAGGTATCACAAAAAAAGCAATTAGCAAATGCTAGCACTTAGCATTTATTGCTCTTTTATTATTTCTTCTGGTTATAGAATGGTGTGAAAGGGGCACTTGATACTATTTGCTAAGATAACCAATATTTTTAATGAAAAAGCTGCATTATCTTTCAAAATGCCTTTTTGAAGTAATTGGCCAGTGGGACAATAAAGAGAGCATTTCAGAGATGGGGCATGAGTTTCAGGTCATTTGCTGGGTGACACGCACTGAGCTTGCTGTGCCAAGCTTCTGATTGGCAGAGACAGGGCTGGCTGTCCTTCAGGAAGGACAGTACAATGAGTTTTCCAAACTGCAAAATCTGAGGGCACAGTTTTCCACAGGGCCTTCCTCATTTCAGGAAGCAACTGCAAGTTCAGCAGTTTCCAGGGCTACCCTCACTTCTGGCTAGCTGGGTGGCTACAAATTTGTGAATTTCCACAACCCTGCTAGGTCTAATTCACTAGAAAGACTCACAGAACTCACTTCAGTGCTATACTTTTTTAATAGAAAATGGATACAAATTAAAATCAGCCAAAGAGGTGACACACAGGGCAAAGTCTGGGAGGTTTCTAAATGCAAATATTCTGTCACCCTCAGATCATGGTCCCCTTCTGGTACTGAAGTGTGAAAATCATCAGCATATTGAATCACCTGAGCCTCAGTGTCCAGAGTTTTTTTTAAGGCCTCATTATGTAGGCATTCTTCATTGAATAGCAACAAAGTCACTCCTATCTTTTGGGAAGTTCCAAGGGTTTAGAAGTCGGTTGAGTGTGGTGGCTTACACTGGTAATCCCAGCATTTTGGGAAGCTGACGTGGGTGGTTTGCTTGAGGTCAGGAGTCCAAGACCACCCTGGCCAACATGGCAAAACCCCATCTCTAAAAAAACTACAAAAATTAGCCAGGTGTGGTGGTGTGTGCCTCTAGTCCCAGCTACTTGCCACTGCACTCCAGCCTGTGTGACAGAGTGAGACTGTCTCAAAAAAGAAAAAAAATTTAAACTCCAGGGACAAAGGCCAACCAAATTCTTTATGCCAAAATCAGCAATTGGACTGAAGTATGGTAGGTTCAAGAGATCCCTGATCTCTGGGAAGACAAAGCATATTGTGTGGCCCCAGTGCCCTTGATTCTCCTGACTACTATGAATGCTTTTGGTTTCAAAACCTAAATGAGAAATAAGCATCAGTAGGGCTCTGTCACAGTCATGACAGACCATGGACATAATACTAATCATAAACTCCCCCAAAAGATCTCAGCTTACTGCAGACAGAGTAAACTGGTTCTGGCTGACCAAACTCAGATGCAGGACAGGGGAGATGTGAAAACCTTTTTTTATGTTCCACAACGCAATTATCACTTTTACTTTTCTACATCTAAGGAGGAAAGCAGACAAATGAGGAACAGAAGGAACAGAAGGAACAGAGAACAAAACCAAAATCTTTCCTTTCGCCTGACTTCTTACAAAGACACAAACACCTACAACTGAAAAATCTGTCAATTCATTTCCAAAATGAAACTGGGGTATAAGCCGAGTTGATGGGGCAACTTGCCCAGGGTTCACCTTTCTTATATGGGACTTGGGGCCACATCAGCACACAAAAGAAATCATTCTTAGTCAATTGCTCTCTGTAGTGGAGATGACATAGACACTGCTTAGGAGTTTTGATTTGCTCTATGAAAGCTGATAGGAAAGAGAAATTGTCTCAAAATGGATTTGTTCATTTTGACATAAAATGGATTTTAGTTTGAAGTCCTTGATTATTGGACAACTTTATTTATTTTTATTATTAGACTTTAAGTTCTGGGATACATGTGCAGAAGGTGCAGGTTTGCTACACGGGTATACGTGTGCCAAGGTGATTTGCTGCACCCATAAACCCTATTAGACAAATTTAACCTTCTGCCTTGATTGCTAGTGATCATTGACGCTTTGAGTGTCAAACTAAAAATGGAAAGAATTTGATTTAAGTTTCAGTTGAACAGAAGCTTCACACTGTCCTCCCAGCAGTCCAGCAATGTGAATGAAAAGCAAATGAGGTTATCTAGGATCCTGAGCTGAATGGAGGAAAAACTGTCAAGCGTCTGGTTGATTTTCTATTCAACAGTGATTTCTTAGGACGGAATCACTTTAGAAAGCAAGTCTGGCTGAAAGGTGATATTTGTTCTTTGGAGTATGCTGGTTTCTCTTTTTAAAATCAAAATTTTGAAGTAGAATCACTTGAATCCTATCACCATGGAAGCTTATGGGCTGAATTTATAAGATTAATCTAGTGTTCGAGGTGTAGAAATCAACTTTATTTTAAAAATTAATCTTATGTAACATTCTCTCTAATATAAACCAGTTACTTTTGCAGTTAAGAACAAATTACTTCCTTTTAAAAAGTGGGTTTTAGAAATAATCTTTTCATATGCCTCTGCAACCTGAATACAGTCCATACAGTGTTACAGATGTCATTTAATACAAGTATAACAATTTTAGAATGAATTCCTCAGAAAATGAATGCCAGATTAAAATTAAATGCATTTGTCTCTTTGCAGAAATTTTGGTAGAAATTGCCAAATTGCCCTCTACAGGGATTTATCTTTTTTTTTTTTTTCATTGCTATTAGCAATGTAGAAGAGTGGTTTCCAACTCTCATCCTTCTTTGTCATTCATTGGAAGTTGCCAAACTATGGGATTTTTGCCACTCTTATGTAATTAGCTGAGGCTTAAGTTTTGCTTCTCTTATGTGTAAAGTTAATCATTTCTTCATATGTTCAAAATCCATTATATTTATATAAGGTACATATTTCTTTTTTGTTTGACTATTTCTTCCCAGTATCAATAAGAGGTTTCTTAAAGCAACTTTATTAAAGTTTAATTCACATATAACAAATTATACACATGTAAAGGGGACAATATGATAAATTTTCACACACACATATATATCCATATCCACAAATATATGGCTATCCATTCATATATATCCATATTTGTATTTTCATAAAATGATTGCCATAATGAAGATAATGAACATTTTCATCACCCCAGAAGTTACATGTCCCAGATTACTACCGAATCTACATAGCAAATTTGACCTAATGTGTAAGATGATGGCTGTCCTTGAACACACACGGAGCTCTGTTCAGAGTCCAGCCTACCACTGATGCCCTGCCCTGCAGATAGGAAATGGGTTGTCCATGCTTTAATATTTATTTGCCATGTCAGAAATTGAAAACTAGTTTTTCTTTAAACTCTAATCTTTATAAACCGTTTGAATACACAATAAACTTTAAAAGGAAAGAGAAGGACAGGCACTATAGCTGACGTTAGTATCCCAGCACTTTGGGAGTATTACTTGAGCCCAGGAGGTTGAGGACTGGTCTGGGCAACATAGGGAGACCCTGTTTCTACTAGAAATAAAAATAAATTAGTCAGGCAGTGATTCATGGTGGTGTGCACCTGTGGTCCCAGCTACTCAGGAGGCTGAGGTGGGAGGATGGCTTCAGCTTGGGAGGTCAAGGCTGCAGTGAGTGGTGTTCGTGACAGTGCACTCCAGCCTGAGATACAGAGCATAAACCTGTCTCAAAAAAAAAAAAAGAAAAGAAAATAGGGAAATTGTAGTTCTTTAAATTGACAAATTGAATTCATATTTTGACTTTATTAAAATAATATGAAACCAGCTAAGTTTTTCTCTGATGTAACCTGCTTAAATGTAATCATATTATCTTCTGGCAGAACTAAATCATGTTGTATGTAGTACTCTCATCATTCAATTTTAACATGAGGCTGTTATTTTTGCAAGTCCTTTCTTACAACCAATTCCAGGTCTTTGCACTGAGTTTGAAAATAATAATGTTATTCCCTACTGCGCTTGAGCATTGTAGTGAGTTTAGAATTTAATAGCGACTTCTTCAATGACGCAATTTTTCTTTTACGTCATTGAATTATGTAATTGAATTACATCATTGAATTACATCATACTTAATGTCTAGATTGGAAATCTGGATCATTAAGTATGAGGTCACTATTATTAGATCAAACACCAAATATTAGGAGTCAAAAAAACTAAAAGGAAGATTTTCTACCTGGACCATGGCCTGAGGTTTTCAAAACTAAAATAATATGCTTTTAGACCCTCAAATTTTAGGTGAAAAGACATTGTGTTAAATCTAAGTCAATTGCTTCCTCAAAAGTTAATAATAGAGCAATTGCTTCTCAGTATTCAAAAATGTTTAAAAGACAAGTAGTAGAGACTAACTTTTTCAATTTGTATTTAAGTGCAATGAGAATTAAAAAAGTAACATTTACTGAGCAACTTCTCTGTTCCAAGAGCCGTGCAAAATGATTTACAGGTATATATAATAAATGATATCATTTATTCCTCTGTGTGGCAGCACTATTGTTGTGTTCACTCTGTAGTTGAGATGTAGAGATGGAGGCAACCAACTTAATAGCTAATAAGGAAAACCCAGAGATCAAACACGCAATACACATAACCTAAAAAATTATTAAATCATTAGATTTTAATTATACTTTCAAAATATTAAAAATTAAAGATTAGATACATCTATTACAGATTTTTAAATGAATACATTGATTTTATTTCTCCAAGTCTTTGAATACCCATTATTTGTGAATTCTATTTAATAGCAAAACACTTTAAACTATTTAATTTTAAAAGTAATTTAATGGAAGTTTTGATTAAATATGGTGGATTACACATATGTGTTAATCTCTGCAAAACAGTCTATGCTATTTTGATACACAGCATGAATTGACAAAGAGAGTGGAAGTTAGACCTCAGGCCTGTTTCCCTGCCCTAAGTAAGTTATAGTTAAGAAGAAAGCAAGAAAATGATTGATTTTTGTTTTCAAGATGGAGTTTTGCTGTGTCACCCAGGCTGGAGTGCAGTGGGGTGATCTTGGCTCACTGCAACCTCCACCTCCCAAGTTCAAGCGATTCTCCTGCCTCAGCTTCTTGAGTAGCTGGGATTACAGGAGCCTGCCACAGCACCTGGCTAATTTTTGTATTTTTAGTAGAGACGGGGTTTTGCCATGTTGGCCAGTTTGAGTTTGTCTCAAACTCCTGACCTTGTGATCTGCCTGCCTCAGCCTCCCAAAATGCTGGGATTATAGGAGTGAGCCACCATGCCTGGCAATGATTGTCTTTTTATATTGCCCAAGTTATATGGACAGTTTATATTATGGAATCAGTACTTCTGGTTACCTATTTGATTAGATGAAAATATTGGTGTTTGGTCATTTGCATAGTCAGTAATTTTAGCTTGTTAAAGTTTTATCTTTTTTTTACATTTTATAATTTTCCTTTTGACTATAGATGTTTTATTTTGAAAGACTTTTCTCTGTATCAACTTGATATGGTTACAAACAGGAAACTAACAAAAGATTCAGCCATTTGCCTTCCATTGCAATCAATAAAATATTGCCCAATTTTATCCAACCCTGCTAGTAATAGAAAACCAACTCAAACTCATCATCATTCTTAACTTTTTATGGTTTTGTTATAATTAATGACTACTACGTACTGCATTAAAGAAAAAGTAAAGCTGTGCTGATTTAAAAAAATGTTTTTCCATCTTCGGCAGTTCAGAAGAATCTGTTGATTATGAATTGTTGAGGACTGAAGGCCAAGGGTCTGGGCAGTGAGGAGTTACTACACTGTTTCACAAGAAATATGTCTCATTCAATGGTAACTTGTTATTCAAACTATTTTTGAATACATGTTATAGTTGTATTCATTACAGCACCCCTCCACTTCATTATACTCACATAATCTCCTGTATGTAATTCTTTCCTAGCTTGTTCTCATTTCTCATCTTTTTGTGAAGAACTTGGCATTTTGTAGTTGATACATTTTGAATGGATCTAAATTTATGAGCTGTCTTGAAGTATTCACTTTTACCCCAAACTGCTGCCCAATGACCATTCAGAGGATAGAAATGATAGAGATATATTTTGATAAGGGTCAGACTTTTTTTTACTGCTTTAAATTGTCTAGTAATTAATTAAAGATAGTTCTCACTATTGATTGCTGGACACTTCAAATACATATGCATTTATACTTTACCTTAATCCTTTGAAGCCAATGTTACCATTCTTATTGTATACGTAAGGAGAGTGAGGCTCAGAGAGGTGAATACATTACCAACTCAAACTACTAGTAAGTGTCTCAACCAAGATTTGAATCTGATCTCAATAAGGGACTGTGTCTAAAAGTAAATGCAACCTCCAAATTGATTCAGGTGATACTTTAGGTTAGTTTATTAGTTGTGATGATTCAGTGATTTCATGTTTGTAAGTGATCATTAAAATGAACGCAAATGTAGGGTGCTTAAAAGTATTTAGTGAAGTTTCATTTCCAAGTGTAGGAAACTTTAAACAAAGATATATGCTAAACTCATTTAGTTGTTTATTTTGCAAATTTAAGTCACAATGAAAGTTAATTAGAATTAATTCTCAAAATAGAGGATGAAAATAAAACAAAGAATTAAAGATGCTGAATGTTCTCAGTCATGTTTTTAGTTTGTTTTATAGTTCAAAGTATTCCAAAGTCATGCATATTTATAAAAAACAAGTTTTCAATATTATTAATATTTTGTAAAGTGAAATTTATTCAGGGATAACTATGTGCACAGAGGCAGAAACCCAATAGTCTTCTGATCGGGGATTAATATTTATGTGATCAAAGTTGACAGTTAAGTCAAATAATTAATAAGTATTAAAAACAAGAAAATATTGTGGGAAGATAGCAAGTGGATTCTTTTATCAGCTAATATTCTTTTTCTCCCTATATATAGTATCATATAAATATATTTGGAAATCAAGAATAATTATTTAATTTTAGTTCCTTCAAGTCAATTCTTTAAAATAATATGAGTAAGGAGGAACAATAGCAAGAGATCATGTTTAATTATTTAAAAAAGAGAAAGGGAGAGAGAAAATTGTCTTTGGGCATTTGTGAAGAAAGATAAAAAGACAAGTAAAAGGACAAAAAAAAAAAATACTTGGTCTAGGAAATGCATGGTTCTAAAAGGACTCTTAGAAAGAATATGAGCAAGCGGGGAAACTGAGCCCATGCTGTCTACATGCCCATATGGACATGGTAAACACATTACTGCTTGGCCATATCTGGAACAGGAAGGAATAGAAGACAAGGTAGATGGCAGGAATGTTCTTAGTTTCCCATATTTTAGGAGGAGGAGCAGAATGCTTGCGGAACACCTATGAGATGACGTCTGAGAGTGGCATCGAACAACCAGCAGAGGGCCAGAGGAGTGGACTGACTCTCCTGAGGCTACACTGCTACCTTGCAAATGCAGATAAAACTGCCTCTATTTGCTGATTCCTAGTTTCTCACTCTTTCCAGCATATTGTGAAATGGTGTGGGGTGTACCACTTTCTAGGATCTGCTTTGCAACCATGAGCTAAAGATGAGTAAACTATAAACCATCTGTAGTAGCTGCTTAGAAAATACCTGGGCCGGGCGCAGTGGCTCATGCCTGTAATCCCAGCACTTTGGGAGGCCGAGGCGGGTGGATCACGAGGTCAAGAGATGGAGACCATCCTGGTCAACATGGTGAAACCCCGTCTCTACTAAAAATACAAAAAATTAGCTGGGCATGGTGGCGCGTGCCTGTAATCCCAGCTACTCAGGAGGCTGAGGCAGGAGAATTGCCTGAACCCAGGAGGCGGAGGTTGCGGTGAGCCGAGATCGCGCCATTGCACTCCAGCCTGGGTAAAAAGAGCGAAACTCCGTCTCAAAAAAAAGAAAGAAAATACCTATCTGTAGCTATATTAAGGCACTTATATAGCGATTTATGAGACTAGATTGATGTAAAAATTAGAAAGAAATTTTTAATATTACAGCATCACAGAAAACTTAGCAAGTAAAGGCATTATTTTTTGGTTCACCAAATAATATTTATAATTAATTCTATAAATATAGATTTATAAGAGTTAAGAGCAGGAAGAGACCTAAGAAGTATGAAGTCCAACTACTTCTTTTTTTTTTTTTTTGAGATGGAGTCTTGCTCTATTGCCAGGTTGGAGTGCAGTGGTGTGATCTTGGCTCACTGCAACCTCCGTCTCCTGGGTTCAAGGGACTCTCTTGCTTCAGCCTCCCAAGTATCTGAGACTACAGGTGTGCGCCACCACATCCAGCTAATATTTATATCTTTAGTAGAGACAGGGTTTCACCATGTTGGCCAGGATGGTCTTGATCTCTTGACCTCGTGATCTGCCCGGCTTGGCCTCCCAAAGTGCTAGGATTATAGGCATGAGCCACCACACCTGGCCCAACTACTTCTATTGTGTTTGAACACTGTAGAGGGGAGATAAGAGAAAAAGAGGTGAGGAACAAGCAAGCACCGGGGTAACTTGTCTGAGATTTCAGAGTTAGTGACAAGAAAAAAAGGCTACAAGCCAGCACATTCCTTTTCTAAGTAAAAAAACACAAACTTATATCAGTAGGTTGGTTTCTGTTTTGAGGGGGGAGTTTTGCTCTGAACTTCTCCTCTTTCCTTTCCATGGCAGACATTTGGTTCCTGGACCTAAGAAA